CTTCGGCTTCCCATCAGTTCAGACTTGACAAGCTGCATAATAATATCCAACTTCAACCCCACGACATCTTAAATCAAATCAAGAGGTTTATGGGAACTCATGAGTATAACACTTTGCATCTCAATGGTCCATGAACAACATCTAATCTTTTTTGTCCCTGAAAAATATCCCCCTAGGCATAATTTAGTCTTCCTAAGATCATAAATTGTGGCTAACACCATTAAGAATGTGTTATAAAGAAACCATTTTTTTCCCTATATGGCTATACCCACTTGAGAGTTGAATCTATGTCATCGCAGGTTACAGGAGATATTTTGGCGGTAAAAAAAGCACTTATTGCTGTTTCCCGCTGCCTTCAAAGCTGTCCACTAATAGACAGAACACAGACAGTTGCAAGCAGGCCCATGGAGACAGCTACCCATGGGACCTTTCCAGATCCACATGGGGATCTTTTCCCACAACAGAATTCATTCATACCACCTTTGTCAAGTAGTTCTGTTGATTATGCTTCAAGAAGCCTTCCTCTGCCTCAAGAGATTGACAAGATCTCCAACCTAGACCCAAAGAAGGCACAGCAAGAAGTTTCATTCAGACTGCTGTGTTCCAATGATAAGGTTGGTGGTGTAATTGGCAAGGGAGGAGTCATCGTCAAGGCACTACAGAATGAAACGGGTGCTTCTATTAGTGTGGCAGCATCAGTACCTGAGTCAGATGAGCGTGTAATCACCATTTCTGCAATGGAGGTTTGTTTTGCTACCATTATTTTGTCAGAGTTTTATTATTCATCCTCCATGTTAATTGATGCAATGCAGTTAGTTACATTAGTTTCTTACTGGATCTGGCATTGCTTTATTGTCATGTAGAATGCAGATTCACAGTACTCTCCAGTGCAAAAGGCTGTTCTCCGTGTTTTCACTAGGTCTATTGAGGTCGGCATTGAAAATGGTCTAGAGTCAGGGTCAAGCAAGGGAGCTTCTACCCCTGCACGGCTTCTAATATCATCAAACCAAGTTGGTTGCTTGATGGGTAAAGGAGGCACAATAATCTCAGAAATGAGGAGGGTAACCGGTGCTGGTATACGGATATTGGGAGGTGACCAAGTCCCAAAATGTGCCTTGGAAAATGATGAAGTGGTACAGGTATGCCAATTCTTTACCTAGTTTAATATAGAAGCAAGAGGAATAAATGTCTGACTTTTTTTTGGCAAGATTGGTCCTTAGATGGGCAATTTTCTCACTTACTAGCCATTATTTCTTTTCAGCTCTACCTCCCTTCTATTCTCAATAAAAATGTTATAGGCTCAACACTTCTTTGTTGTCCTGGCATTTTCTCTGAGAATTCTTTTTGCACTTATTACATGACAGTAAAAGAGAGAATTCTTTTTTGCACTTATTTCTCTGAGAATTCTTTTGGCAAGATTGGTCTTATAAATTCTGGCAGTATCATATACATGCAACTTTTATGTATGCTTCTTGCTGTTATTAGAGAACACTGTAGTGCGATTCTTTGGTAGAAGTCCTTGTTTTCTTTATTCCTTTTTTCTGTATATTTCAAATTTTAAGAAAGGTGGGTTTTGTTTAAGCCAATTTGACCCTTTTTTTTTCACAATCATAGTTATATTTCATTTGTTAATCGGTTTCTCTTTTGTTTCCTTTTCTGGGTTCTAACCATACTTGATAAAAGAACAACTTGAAATGAGCATTTTTTAAGTTAATTTAAGAGCAAAAATACTTGAGGCAGCAGTGTACCCAAGTATTTATTAAAGAAAAAGGTTTTGATTTTACAGATTACTGGCGATCTTAATAATGTTAAGGATGCTTTGTATCATATTACTGGTAGACTGCGGGATAATATTTTCCCAAATAAACTTCCAAAAGGAGCTGGAGTTGGGAGCAACTCATCATCTGTTGTCTCAGAGGTTAGTCCCTATGGAAGAGTGAGGGAACCTACTTCTGGGTTGTACCCATCAGTAGGGCTTTCCCATAATCTTGATCGGCAAACTACTCTAACACAGAGCATGGATCATCTAGGACTTTCTCATAGTTTAGATCGTCCTCCCTCGCCAAGGTTATGGACATCACAGGTACAAGTTGTGTTCCATCTCTGATTACAATCATCAGCCTTTTTTTATTTTCTTTTTGTATTTTCCTTCTCAGAAGTCAGAATGCATTAATAATTCATGGCATCATCTTTTGGTGGTGTGCTTGGATGCAGGCCACAAGCGGTGGGAATCCAAGGGGCATCACAGACATGGGAAGAGGATTGACAACATTTAAAGGTGGCTTAGAACTTGGCAGGTTCGCATTCCACAGTTTGGTACAATATTTTTTTCTCCCTTCTATCAAGCTATAAAATGACTAAGACCTTGTTGTATGGGAAGTTCATTTTACATCTATTGTGGTTTTACCAAAACTTAAAACCAACAGGCTAGTCAGGCTAACCTTGAAACCATCCCTTGCATGGTTCAGGCTGGGTATCTGATACTCAGTCTTTGAGAAATTGGCCAAGATTTACAAAGTTAAGAACTTAGAAGTATAATTTTCAAGGCACCAAGGCGAACCTAGGCAACAAGGGAGCGCTTCGTCGCCTAGTCGTCTAGTGTCTCAAAAGTAAACTTGCTTTCCTAGTGCTTCAGGACTTGTGTCTCAGAAATAAACATTTTCTTCGTAATGTTTCAACTTTCAAGGCTAGTGTCTCAGAAATAACCATTTTCTTCCTACTGTTTCAAGGATGGTGTGTTAGAAATAACCATTGCCTAGTAAAAGAAGTGGCTGCCCTGTTTTTGTCATAGAAAAAGAAGAAGAAAATCATTCATCAAAAAAAAAAAAAAAGAAGAAGAAGAAAATCAACAAATAAGGAGAAGGAAGGGCAGAACCCCTGTTGGGGGTGAAGCCCCTGTTGTTTAAAAAAAATGCAAGAAAAAAACTTGAAAATGATGACCATTACAAAAAACAGAAAGAAAAAAAAATCATTGCTTATGTTTTTGTTCCAAAAAACAGAAGCCCCTGTTTTTGTTCCAAAAAAAGTAAAAGAATCAGAAATTTAAGGAGAGAGGGTTATTTCTTATCCCAGAAAAAGAAGGCGCTGATCTGAGCCTCTATTTCTATTTTGGAAGAAGAAGAAGATGAAGTGTTGAACATACCTGTGTTTGACTGGTGTCACTTATTGCTTTAAGTCTTCACTCTTTCAAGTCTTCAAAGTCTTCAAAATCTTCCAAGTCTTTGAATTTCAGTGAACTTGAGTTCTTTATAGCTTCTTTGGTAAAGTGGTCTGTATCATTTGGACCCTAATATAAAAATAAACTAACAAATGCATGTTGATTTATGAAGTAATAAAAAGAATGTTAAGGTGTATCATTGCTTATGTTAATATTATGAGATCAAGAATTCAAGATATAAAAATATTGTAAGATAGTGTGAAGTTTGATATAGAATTGCTTGGCGTTTAGGTGAGGTGAGCAATAGGAAGTGCTTAGTCACCTGGGAACCCGCCTAGGTGTCGCCTTGAAAACTCTGCTTAGAGTGAAGGAATTTTTACTCTACATTGGCATCATCTGGTTTGACCAGAGAAAACCAAGCCAACCATGCCTTCCAGGTTTCAGAACATTGGTATATTATTGCCAACTCTTGTTTGTCTCTGTATGTCATAGATACAAGTCATGACTAACATAAACAATAAGATCTGTATAGTTAACTACATGCCAGTATTTGATATTGGAAGATCACTTTGTACCTCAAGCAGCTTCATAAAAATCAAAGATCACAAACTTTTTGCATATATCATGAATAAGTGAAAATACTTTTCTGAGTACTTTTTGCAGAGGAAGCAAATCTGCGATTGTCACTAATACAACTGTGGAGATTGTGGTTCCTGAAAATGTTCTTGCATCTGTCTATGGGGAGCAGGGTAGTAATCTGAATCGCCTAAGACAAGTAAGTCCTTGCCCATCTACACTGAGTTCTATTCCTTGTATTCATCCTGATGCTTGTCAAAAAAGAGAAGCTTTAATCATAGACAGTTAATGTTATGGTGATTTAACACCATTTGTGAAAATCTTTTATGCAATCAATCTCTAATGCTAATGGGCATTGGATTCCGTGATCTCAATGGTATTATATTTGGACGATAAAGTCTAGCTGAGCTGACACCTGAAGAATGGCTGACAAAAACCAACCCTGAATTTTAGCGTCAATGGTTATGAATAGAAGCTCAAGTAGTTGTCTTGGGTTACAAGACTCCAAATAGCTGAATGCAAATACAAATTTTTCCGATTGGTGTTTATATCATTGCCTGGAAAATCAGGATTAACGTTCTGATTGGCATCCAAGCGTTTGTTCCATTTCACCAACTTACCACATTAAATCATATTTGGCAGACTAGTTTTTGGAAAAACATTGCTGCAATAATTATGCTTTGGGTTTTGTGAGGGGGATCTTGAATGACCAATGTGATGTGGCACACTGCAATAATCAGAGGTGCAGCATTCCTCATTCTTGGTGAAGCGGAACACTTGTGAAACACAATGGTTCCAAACAAGCTCTAAGTTTGACAAAGCAAAACCGTTGATACGAGAGAGAGAGGGCTACTGCTCACTGATGGTAATTTAAGCGAGTTCAAATCAGCCCCACACGAGATTGCCCCCCGCAACGTCCCACAGCACATCTTGGCCGTGTATTGAGAGCATCTCCTGATGATGACATCATCATTTCTGGGATTATCATTGGAAAATGTTCTCAATACATGGCGATGGCGGGGATGTGTTGTGGGATGTTGTGGGGAGCTGATTTGGTCTCAATTTAAGCACACTCCATTTCTACTGTACAAAAGCACCCTGTTGTGTAAAGGACAGAAGTCTCTTTAATGAAAACACAAAATCAAGATCTATTGATACCATTTTCATTACTCATCTCTGTCGTGGATTTTTGTCCTTTCACTAGGGAGGAGTGCTCTGTTTTAGGCAAATGGGAAAATAAAATGAAAACGAAAAAAATAATTAGGGTGTGCAGATGCATCTAACTAAGTCTCGTAGTTAATCCCTTGCTTTGAAGATTAAATTGCTGCCTCCTCTCCCTGATTGTTTTGTTCCTGAGTAGTCAAATCATGAACTCGTTGTTTTCATTTCAACATCATTCTGGCTATTGCTGTGTTACTAGATCTCGGGTGCAAAAGTCATGGTACGTGATCCTCATTCTGGCACAAGTGATGCGTTGGTCATTATATCTGGAACACCTGATCAGACACAAGCAGCGCAGAGCCTCCTACATGCTTTTACTCTAAGTGGACGGCCATCACCAGATCATTCCAGGCTGTTATGATCCAAGGGGAAGACACGAATTACTTGCCACTTGTTTCTTTGTGACTTATTATGGTTGATGGGAATATTATGGTGGCTTTTGGACCAAATTTAATGTAGATTAGGTGCGATATTTTTTGTCCCCTTCTTTGAGCACTACATTTTATATCAAGGGCTGTTGGGTGCTAAAGAGGCGAGGTGTAAACCTCAAATTAAAAATTTAAAAATTATGAAAAAATAAATAATTTAAATTTTGTATAATTATTTATCACTTAAAAATAATTTTATATAATTACTTGAAGTTAATACAAAAACAAGGCAGAAGGAGGTTTGTGTCAGATTGGGCTAATCAGCTGGGATAGGGCCAACCTTGGAGCTAAAAGCAAGCATAATTATTAAGCTAAAGTCATTTTTAATCAAACATACAGCTCTAGATGGTAGATACCAATTAACCCTGTTTTATATAATTCCAGTAGGACGGGGATGGACTAGTCTAAAATTTGAAACAGGATATGCAAAAGAGGAATTATTTCACCAAGACTATTCAGAGGTAGAAGTTGGAAACATTCAAATGAGAATAACAAAACTGATCCAGATTCAATTTATCTTATGACAATATGGCAATATGTATCTAAGCAGTTCATCACAGCACTTATTATCCGAAAGTGAATTTTCGGATTTTTGGATAGGGAAAGTTGGTCAATGGGATTTTGGTTCTTATTGACTAAGAATCTCATGTTTTTTTTTTAATTTATGTAGGAATTAGGGAAAGTTTATTTTCCTACGTATCACTTACCCAGGTAAATGATACCCATTTCTTAGGTGGGTAAATAACTTTCCCACCTAGAAGGAAAGTTGTCAACACTTGAATGGGACAAAAATGTTCCTTTTAATAATGGATTTTTATGGCTAAAATGGTCATTACCTTATTTACATGAAAAATAAAAGAACATGGGTAAATGTACTTACCTGGGTAAGTGTTTCTTAAATAACTTACCGAGAAGCGAACGGGGCTTGAAAGAAAGTAGTACGTCAGCACGTCTAAGTCTCTGACTTCTCACAAATCTGCCACCCCACCTAGTTAAGAGTTTGAGATAAAAAATAAGAAAAAAAAAAAAAGTGAAAAGGAGGAGAACCTACACAAGATTTGATTTTATCTGTCCCTCCAACATTCTTGAGTTTGGTCTAAGAAGTAGAATGTAGAACTGAGAATCTTCTTGAGCTCGGTTGAACAGAGAAATGAGATTTTGGTCAATGAAAACCTTACATTTTTGGGATTTTTACTTTTTCTTTTAATTTTTTCCAAAATTGCATGTACTGAAATCAAAATTTCTCCACTCAAAACCCTTTTAACTTTAAGGCTACTGCTTCATGTATATTAAGGCGAAAGGCTATTAGGCCTCACTAAAACTGAGGCTTACACCCCTTACTCTGAGACTGAGGCTGCTGAGGCCAGGCAAAATTTGGCCGCCTCACGCCTCTCGCCTCGCCTCAGCAGCCTTTTAAAACCATGTGTCATCCTGAGTAGCCCTGATCTACTGCATTCAAAAATTCTGCGCACGCATCAATTCATCATCAAACTGCATAACATGTGTTTTAAATTTGTGAGATTTTTTCATTGTGCAGGTGGATGTCTGTACTTTCAATGTGTGTGTATAGTTTTTGGTTGCAGGAGATCCCGTCATAGCGAATGTTTCTAATTTCTTGTGCGCCTACCAAGTGAGCAGATAATGAATTAGTCCAGCATTTACCGAACATAAAAAGTTGGGTTTAAGAACGTAATTGTGCCATCTTATAATTATCTGTTGTAATACAAGTAATATTATTTGTTGACCCAAACTATTTAGGGAGTGTTAGGTGGTGTGGTCTCTATGAGGTGTGTTGTGTTTGAATCTATTGGACCCCATTTATGGTGTGTTGAAATCACATGGCACTACACTCCGTAAGTTGTTTTTGGATTTATTTTATCAAAATTGTAAATGGAACTTTTAAGTTATTTATATGTGGCCGTCCAATTTACTACGTTGTCGATTGATCAATGAGATTTTGGTGTCAAAAAGAAATTGCACTATTTTTGTATTTCCAAATCATCCAAATAGTTTCAAAACATGTCACACCCCTAAATGAATGTTTAATAGGAGTGACTTGTTTCTGAACCAAGCAATTTACAGAACACCATTTTATCAGTGTAGTTCTACAAGAACAGAGTGATGTGCGTTAAGGATTTCATTCAACATATCCTGAGATTTTCTGATTCTAATTGCAATCTTTGACTCTTTGAACAATTGCTATTTGCAAACCAGAGAGAGAGAGAGAGAGAGATCCAGTATGGTGAGATGGTCCTTGTGGATCGTTCCGCTGATTCCTCATACCCTACTATTTGAATCATGGACTAATATTGGGATTTGAGAGGGCCTAATATTGGTTCATGTAATTGCAAGTTATTATTATTATTTTTTACTTTTAGGCAATTGGTTTCCTTTCATCCTAAATCCAGTTCCTGACAAAAAATCGTTAGATTGGTCAACGCTAACCCAGGAAGTTGAACACCTGTTCAACAGTTTTTAGCCATTTCTTTTATTTTTTTCATTAAAATGGGCCATCTGTTCAAATCAGGCGGTCCCCGGAAATCAGTGGCCAGAATGGTTCGATTTTTAAAACCTTGATTGGCATCTGTCCAATTGTCCTGCAAGTCACCTCTAAGATGAGATGGAACTAATCAAAATGGTCATTCTTGAGCCTGTGAAAATGAACTGATGGTGATTTGCAGAAATCGGATTTGCTCCTCACAAAGCATGCCTCAGACCAACCTCAGCACATCGCAGCCCTGCATTGGGAACATCTTCCCATGAATATGAATAACAATCAAGTACAGGAGATGCTCTCAATGCACAGCTGAAAGCGCTTTAATGTTGGTGTAAGGACTGAGGCGTGCTCTCTACGGAGAATATCACGGCTGGACCCATCTACAATTTATTGCTGATTTGCCAATCAGATCCATAGACCTCCCCTGAAAACTTTTCAAATTCTAAATCAAATGAGGGGGAAGAAGCAATGATTTTGCAATTACTCGCTTAATAGTATTCCAGAGAGGATACGGTACAATGTAAATAAACCTTAAAATATCATCATATAATTAAGCACACTTACATCACCAAAGATTGCAGAGGGGAAATGAATACTACAATTATAACATCAAGGTGTTACAATGGTTTTAACAATCATCAAATTGAAACAAGTGAAATCGTCTTCAATTCACACAAAATAATACAGTAACTGGTTTTCACCCCCCACAAGGCTACCAAGATGTAATGGCACAAAATTTCAGTTTTATGCAACTGGAGCAGTACTCACTGTCGGTTGTGAGGATTTGAGGGTTATCTCGACGTTGTCATGAACTCCTTGCAGCAGTAGTTCACCATCATATGCTACAATTTTACGTTTCTTTGCTGCTCTAAGAGTTCCAACAAGTGCTTCAAATATGTTTGCACATTTATCATCGTTGAACAACACACCAAAAGTGACCTTCAAGACAAGATATAAAGCAGCACGTAGATGGTTAAGAAATGGGAGAAAAGGGGTATTCAATGTAAGTTGGTTGGACTGGAAATGAAAATGAAGGCTTAATTTAGAGGAAATTAGAGAATACAAGTTGGAGATAGTGTCAGAATTGGTATCACATGTTGTGACCTTGTCATGACTCGTGAAGGCGACCTTGCCCTCTAATGTTGGTGCCCATAGGAACCAGATATTCAACATGGCCTACAACACGGCTTATCAAAAAAAGGAATAAAAAAAAGCATGGCCTACAACACGTGAGGCTCCATGTAATGTAAGAATCTCCATAGGCCACCAGACTAATATCAGTGGAAGAGTTGCCTTTCACAATCATATGTTCAAACAAATAAAAAATGGTAGTTTGAGACCTTAGAATGATCAACAGAGAGAGAGAGAGAGCATCTCAGCTCCATTGATTCTCCATTATCCACAGGAACCTGCTAGGTAGAAGCGATCACACCAGAGCTATTGCATTGCTCCAGTGCGCTGAAGGTCCAAACTCTTAATAAAGCAACAAAGGTCAAGCTTCATAAAATATGGCTCAAGGGATAAATAAGAATAAATAATAGTCTCCGTAGACCAAGGATTGATTAGGCAACAATTAGTCATCTACCGTGTATAATATATTGGTATTGTCATATAGAGTCAAATTTAGCAACCATAGCGGTAATTCAGTCAATCTATCTGTCCTTAAGAAGAAAAACAAAAATCCTGTCAAATTGTCAATTACATACTTAAGGGTAAGGGCATAATTTTTATTAGTTTTGAATCACTTTCCTCCACACTAGTTTAGAATCTAAAGTTCCTTTTTCATTCCTTCTCTCATAGATGTTACCACCTTACTGCTTTCCTGAAAGAAGAAAAAAACCAAGTCCAGAAAGAAGCTGAAGTTCTTTCTTTTGTCCTTTTTGTGTCAATGGAGGGTTTTCTCCTCAAATATCCCAGTATCCATAGTAAATCCAGTACCAGCTTTAGGTTCTCAAATGCTATTCTGACTAATATGGTGAGCTTCTTGATACCCCCAATAATTCCAAAGGAAGACACTCCGGATTTGTTCATTCCAATACCATATTGGGAAAGGTATATCCAGTAAGAGTTATCCAAACCCCTTGAATCCCCCCCCCTCCATAAGAGGAAAAAATGCACTTCATTTTGCCATGTACTTCACTTATCACCAGACCTCGACAACAAGTATACAAACAGGTTAAAGCAGTACTATAAATGAACTCCACTATAAGATTCCGAGCACAATTTTGTCTTAAATTTCAAGAAAGTTGTGTCGGATGTTCCATCTTTATTTAGTCCAAAGAAACTCCTTGTAAGTTTTAGAATGTTCTTCAATTATCTCTTTGTCCATGTGGAACAGCCACACAAATCCTGTTAAGTTGTAATCATGTCCCTTTCTCTTTGACACCCTTCAACTTGCATCAGATCCATAGTAGTCAAGGCGACACCTAGGTAATAAGGCCCTCATGAAATATCACCTTTTTTTTATCAGTAAAATATCACCTTGTTGACAGGGGGTGTTTGGCTCCTACATCAGTAACAGTGAGGCACCCCCTTGTGACACCTATCACCTAGCCTCACTTCAATGCCTTGAAAAGTATGCCTCTAGGGTCCACTCCCTTACTTTGACTATCAAGAAATACAATGATAGGTTAACATGTGGAGCAATGAAAAACACAACATGCTATCAACCAAATCACCAAGAGAGTGCTTGCCTGGGTGATTTGGTTTTGATGTGTTCACATGGTCATAACACTTACTCGCAACCCTCTAATAAAACATAGACACGCTACTAATCAAACAGAAAACCAAATTATCTAGTGAGTGCATCATAGTGTTGCTACCCCATGTTAACATATGAAAAAAAAATAGAGATTGTGTCGCAAACTTGCAATTTAGAAATATCAAAGTAGCCTAACATGTTGGGTGGCTAGTTCAAACGACCATGACACTTTCATGCAACCCTCCAATAAAACACAGACATGCTATCAATCAAATAAAAAACCAAATCACTCAATGAGTGCATGCCTGGGTGATTTGGTTTCAATGAGTTTACATGGTCACAACACTTTCTTGCAACCCTACAATAAAACATGAACATGCTAACAGTCAAATGAAAAATAAAATCACTCGATTAGTGCATATCTTTTTCCTACCCCAAATGATACAAAAATAGCCCACTAACATATGTAAAAAATAGAGACTACCTCTAAGGTCTACTACCTTTCTATGACAATCAAGAAATGCTAAGGTGACTTAACATGTGTTGTGATGTATTCACATGATCACAATGCTTTCTTGTGACCTTCTAATAAAACACTAACATGTTATCAATCAAAAAAAAAAAAATCACCCAATGAGTGCATGTCTAGGTGATTTGATTTCAATGAGTTTACGTAGCCACAGCACTTTCTTGTGACTCTCCAATAAGTCATGAACATACTAATAATCAAATTGAAAACCAAATGACATTGTGAATGCATGCCTAGGTAATCTGGTTTCGATTAGTCCACATGGTCACACACTTTTTTGTAACCCTTCAATAAAACATAGGCATTCTATCAATCAAATGAAGATGAAATACCCAATGGGTGCATGTTTGTTGTTGCTACCCCAAGTAATACATGAATTACCCGCTATTATATGATAAAATGGAGACTACCTCTAGGATCCACTACCTTACTAGGAATATCAAAAAATATAAAAGTAGCCTAACACGTGGAGCAATGAGCTCACCATATCACCCAGTTAGTGCATACCTGGGTGATCTGGTCTTCATTAGTTCACATAGTCACAAAAAAAGGATCACCTTGTTTTCTTTCTACCTTGCTACATCTTTCTCGACTATCCCATCCATCCATCAGCAAAAGCATTGTAAAGCGTAACAATATTATGTTTCAACTTGCAACAGAGATGCAAATACAGTACAGAAGACCAACAGGGGGGAGGGGGAGGAGAAGAGAAAAAATGGAGTTCTGAAGATGATCAAAATACTACAGTGCATATTGGCATCGGATGAACCACAACCAGATATTGACAAACCGGGAAGAAGAAAATAACGCTAAAAGAGGAAATAAAATGCAAAAAGCTAGATCTTGCTAACAGCTATCGCAAATCAAGTAACTAATTAATAAGGATGTAATTCTTATCCAATGTATGTAGATCCCGATCCAGGTACAGAGGGCTTAATTGTTTATGTTGATCAGAGATATCAAAAGATCTGAATTTTCCAATCCAGAGAAGCACCGTGGTACTCAACCGTAAAATAGCTAAAAAATTACTAAATCTTGCGCTATCACTAAACAAATCAATGCAATTAGTAATTACCACGAAATTAAAGGCGAAACCAGAAAAGAGAACAACGCTGAAGAGAGGAGCCATTAAAGAAATTACCTTGTAAGATCCATCGGATTGAAGCTGACCGAGTCGCTTAATTTCTTCTTTGAGTCGCTCTATCTCTTCTTCTACGTTCATCTTATCAACCTCACTTCTCCTTGCTGAGAATGCTGAGAAGGTCTACAAGTATCAATCTATCTTCGGTTCTCTCTCTCTCTCTCTCTCTCTCTGTATGACGAGAGAAGATAACAGGTAGCCATCATGAAACGTAAGAATTGAAACTTCTTTCTGACAAACTCTGTAGCCGTTAAATGGGAATCTACGTACGAGATGGCATCCAATCTTATAACTTATAAGCAAAGTTTTGGTAAAGCAAGAGAGCCAAAATTCATCATCGTACATCGTATGATCGTATCTGCGGCTCTCCATCGAATCCCTCTTCCCGTCGAGTTGCTGGCAACAAATCCGTTCCAACTCCCTTCCAACCAGTGCTGACACAAATCATGTCCGAACAGGTTAGAAAAGTTTCTTTCTAAGGCCTTCGTTGGAAAGAGCAAATAAAAATATGGACAATTTAAATATTTATATAAAATACAAAGTTTTTCATTCTATATATTTATACTTTAATTCCTTCTAATAAAAAAATATCTATGATGCTAAAAAATACATGATTATGAAAAATAGGCCTAGTTCTATTTTGGCCGGTTCTTTCCTCCTATACCTCAAGTATGCTCTTCTAGTCTTCCCTGTTATTTTGGCCAGTTCTTATTTTATCAATTTATAGACCTAGTTCTATTCATGAAGCTCGCGGCATGGAATATTCGAGGGAGTAATGACCCTCAAAAGATCCTCTTTCTATAAGAACAGTCAAGTTTTCTTGTTAGGCTGTGTTTGGAAACAATGCAAATATGTATGAATGCGAATGTGTAGAGTGTAAAGTGGTTCATATAAATTGTAAAGTTGGGTTAGTTTTATATTGAGAAATTTGCCTTCTTATCAAACATACCTTTAACTGTAATGGATGCAAACATGAATTTCAAAAAAGCATATGTTTTTTTTTTTATCAAAAGCCCACTTTAATGCAAATTTACTTCTTTTTTATTAGTGTACTTTTACATCTTACTATCAATGTAAATATGCATTGGTCTGTCATTTGCCAATACATAAATATAATGTTGCCAAACATAGGCAAAAGTAAACTAGAGTGCAAATTTACCCTGAACCAAGATTTATACTCCATTTGCATCGTTTCCAAACAAAGCCTTAAAAACAAAAGCAAACCTTTCCAAAATGGGGGAAAATGGCAACTAAATTGGGTCTCTCAAACTGGGAGGGTTTTCCTGCAAAAGGTCTATCTGGGGGTCTATTTTGTTTATGGAAGAATGGAATGTTTATCGAACAAGTCTTTACCTCTAAAGGAACCATCTACTTGAATATTAAAGATGGTCCATCTGATCCCCCTTTGTGGTTATGTCTAGTTTTCATGGACACCCACAAAGAACTCAACAAGCAACAAAATTGGATGTTGATAGAAGATTTAAATGGTTTGATTGAAGGTGATGACTATAAGGATAAAATTTTCAATCCCTATAAAATATCTAAACCTCTATCCCAACTAATTCAATCCCATGCTCTAAGGGAAATAGAATCGAAGGGGGCCTCTTTCACTTGGTCAAATGGACAAAGAGGTATTCACCGTATCCATGAGGTTCTAGGTATATGTTTGGCATTGATACTGCAGATACATCACCATTTTCTCTGCATATGTGTGGGTTGGAAGCATCGTTTTTGAGAAAACGGTGTCTTTTTTGTTTGGAAAAGTTGTTGCCAGGTAGGACATTTCCTAAAGCAACAACAACACCTTCTGTTTGTATCAATGCTCCATATCTGTTTTCAGCACCGGTACCCATTATAGGAAGTCCATGTCACTGCCACATCATGTCCTTGTTGGCAGTAATGAGCTCCAATCTAAGAAAACGTCAAATTCGACATTGCTCCAAACCATGCATTCTCAATTTTCAAGGCGTGGCTTGGAGCACCGTTTTTTATGAAAAAATTTGTTTCAAACATATTGACGTTTCCTGGAGCACTGTTTTTTCCAACGTGATGCTAATGTGTCACCAATTTTTGGAGCAACGGCATCGATGCCAAACAGACAATAGATCGTGGCCTAGCTAACACATGGTGGCATGAGCTATTCCTTGAGGCAGCTGCTATTAGGGTCATAAAAAGTATATTCTCAGACCATGCCCTCCTAATTCTTTGATACCCACCCCCAAACTCAATTGGGTCCAAAGTAATTCCATTTCTTACCTATGTGGGCAGAGGAGAATGAGTGTAAGGAAATCATAGAAAGTAGTTGGAGAAATCAAAACCATTACCCAAATCCTACCTCCCCAAAAATAAAATAAAAATAGTTAAAAACATGGAACAAGGAAAAGTTTGGGAGAATTTAAGAGAATTTAAAAAGAGTAGAAGTGGAGCTAGTCAAATTGGAGGAAGAAGGAAGTACAAATAGCAACCAGGATAGAATAAAATTGAGAAAGGAATACGAAAAGTGGATGTTGAGAGAAGAGCAAATGTGGAGATTGAAATCCCGTGAGTTGTGGTTAAAAGAGGGAAACCAAAATACCAAATATTTTCACTAACTCACCAAGTTTAAGAAAAAAAGAAATGCTTGGGATTTCTTAAGAAATGAAGATGGGTCAAATATGTCATTAGAACAGATAGCATAGAGGTTCAAAAATCAAGCCATTCACATCAGTGGGCCTAAACATGAGGAAGAAATAGAAATTCAAGATTTGTGCCCCATGAAAATATCTAAAACATAGACAAAGGAATTACTTATTCCTTCCACTGAGGAAGAAATGGAGAATGTTGTAAAGTCCATAAGAGCCCATTAAGCCCATGGGCGGATGGGTTTCCTCCTTTTTTTTTACCAAAAGTTTTGGCACTTAATAAAAAACTTATGTTTTGGTTTGAAGGAAAAGGTAGGGAAAGATAGGGAAACCTATACAAGGTTTTCCCCACTTTTCTTTTCCTTTCCCTGCATTTTCCTATACAAGGTTTGTAAAATTTCCCTTACTTTCCCCTTCCTTTCCCTGCATTTTCCTTCAAACCAAACATTGCCTTAGTGAAGGAATTCTTCTGTACACCCCAATTCCCCCATCCATAAATTACTGGTTAATAATAACATAAAAAAGGTACCCAGTGCATAAGGCTTTCACCAATGTGGGGTCTGGGGAGGGACAAAAATGTAAACAATCTTACTCCTACACATATAGGAAGGTTGTTAATAATTACTAGAAAACATATTAGGTTAATGAGAATGTGGAAGATCCCAATACACAACTGTTATTAATAAAATAATTATTTTTTATTTATTATTTCCACTCTCATATATTAACAAAAAAGTCAACTTAATCTTAAATTCTTAATATGCTAAGTAATGACTTTATAACTTCTTATAATTACTAATATGATAAGTTAAATTTGTAAATACTTATTTACTTTTGTAAATAACAAATATGTTATTGTTTATAATAAAACTAAATTATTAATTAATAATTTATTGAAATTTATAATCTTAGTTTAAAAAATACATCATAGCTTCTTAAATGCATATCATATAGAAATTCATAAATTTTAATTACTAAGATGATTATTGTGTTTTGGCATTTTATTATGTAAATTATAAAAAAAAAAATCTTAAGTAGAACTTCCACATAAATATTAATAATGGATTTGATAGATTATTGTTCATTTTAGAAAATACTAATTTTAATTATCATTTGTTATTATTTTTTTGGTTGAACATTTGTGCATAATACTATTTATTGGAATTGCATGTAGCCCCCAGGGAAATTAAACTTGCATAGCATTGGGGAATGACCTAGCGGTCTGTGGTCATATCTTCATTCTGAAAGATGTGGGTTCAAACTAGTATTTAATGAGAGAGTAATGGTATGACTAAATTGTTTAAAACTCACCATGAGTTTTTTTAACATTTCTCTTAAACTAACCACAACTTTTCAAAATGTCTAAAACTCACCATGTCAGTAAGTTTTTATTTTCCAAAACTCACATTCCTTTAGTGCACCGTTAATGCTTCTTAACAGACAAGTGTTTTGTTATAATTTATAATATTTTTTACATTTTTCTATTCTCTACAATCTATAAAATTTTGGTGTTTTTTCTACAATTTTTATTTTCTGAATTTGTTTTTCAATTTATATAGTTTATATAATTTGAAAATAATTTTTTATTTTATTTGCAATTTCTATAATTTTTATATATATATATTTTTGTAATTTCTATGTTTTATGTATTTTATATTTGAAAATATTTTTTTGAACTTTTTCCTTTTTTTCATGTCTAAATATTAAAATGGTAATATATTAGCATCTATTGATTTATTTTGTATATATTTTATATTTTTTTATAAAGGTTAAAATGATAATATATTAACGCCAATTAGTCTGTTTAACATCAAGCTAGTGACATGGTGAGTTTTAGACATTTTGAAAAGTTATGGTGAGTTTAAGAGGAATGCTGAAAACTTGTGATGAGTTTTAAACAATTTCCCCAAATGTAATTTATGTGTTTGATTGTAGTTAAAAAGACATCAATTAATATGGAATGTGGTTAAGGCACAATTAATGGTAGGCTAAATGGTGGGATTTAATGGGTTGGCAAATTAACTATTTAATCCACCAACTAATGGTGGCTCACTTGATAACATATCTAACTCGTTGTCTCAAAGATCTGGGATCAAATTCCTACTACCTGGTGCTTAGCCCCATGAAGCCAAAAAGAAAAGATTTTTAATCAAAATTTCAAAATACACTGAGCGTGCCTAAAAACACCCCACAGTACATCCTAACTGTGTATTGGGAATATCTTCCAAATCCCAATGACAAGTATGAGAGATATATGTTGAGATGTGAATGTGGGGCATTTTTGGGGTGTGCTCTATGGGGGGCGCAAAACAATGCTTAAAAGTTCAATGAAAACAAACAAATGCTTTAATATATTAAACTATATAATATATAATTATATGGGAGTCGGATTTTATGAGATCAGATAGGGTACATCTGAATAGAGGTGGATCCTTCTAGTCGTATGAGACAACACATGTATTTGGCTCATTTTAAATAATCCAAATCACCTAGCATGAAGACTTAAATGTATCCTTAACCATTAAGCCCCTTTTCATTTTATGATAATAAATGAAATGAAATGAAATTTTATTAATTTTAATTAATGTTCACATGCAACCCAAACAAATAAAATACATTTATATTCGATAGTTATAACTACAAATTAAAAAGAATAATATTCAAAAATAGTATTTTATAAACTAATAGAATAAATAATCTATCAAATCTATATTTATTTCAAAAAATGATTTTTAAATTCAAGAAATTTATATAAATAATAAAATAACTATTTTAGTACTTAAAATGTATAAATTGGACATGATATGTATCTTAAAATTTTTATAACTTACTAATTAATATTTTAATTTGCATTAAACAACAATGTATCTTCGAAATTTTAATAAATTTAATATATTTTAAGTTAAGATTATATATTTTTACAAATTACTAATTGATATTTTGTAATAGCATATTATTTACAAACTTGATTTTTCTTGTTAATATTAAAAATTAAAAATATTAAAATATAAAACGATTGATATAATAATTGTATATATTTCGTGCCTTGGACCTTAATAGAAAAATAAAACAATAATGGTTTTATGCATGTATTGATTTATAAAAAATCTATATAATTAATGTTTTAAACTCTTGATTGATGTATTATAAATAAAGTTGTGTGATATTTATACATTTTGCTATATTAATTATAACACATTTCTTCATACATACCACTAAAATATATAATTTCTATATATTTAAACATTTTTCATATTTTTTATCCATATCATCAATATCCAAATTATCTCATACGAGTATCCTTATTTTTAATTAGGGTCAAACCCGGAGAGCGAAGAGAGGACCAAATCACCCAGAAGCCAGATCAACTCACGGGGTACTCCTGTAATTTCAGAAAACATGGTGGGTATTCCTGTTGCGCATTCCCAACAACCCGCGACGCCATAGTCCATACCAGTCCACTGTCCACGCCATAAAATACCGTACTGTCCCCTCACCTCATTAGTCCAATGCCGGCTTTCGTCTTTGCAAAGTACACGTTAACAGTCTCTCTCTACTATAAATATCAATCAACCGGAGGCATATATCGTAAATTTCCTCTTTATCCAGGGCTATTTCGGTCGTCCCTCGGTCGTCCTCTCCAGGAGTTTGCCTTCACTTTCTCTGGAATGAATTCGGAAAACCATTCCCCGCCGGTTCTAGGGTTTCTTTCTTTAATTTCGACATAACGGTGCAGCAGGGGTGATCTTAATTCAGAAGTCCGACGATAAATAGAAGCTAGAACCAGGGTTTATTCTTCATTAGGCTTCCTCCCTCGCGGCTGTGATGCGGCAAGGATGCCTGAAACGAATAGCCGGTCACCAATCTACGGACGTGCTAATCGGATGCAATCCATGAATATACCGAACCAGATCGAAGCTGAAGATGGCAGTGCGGTTGGGGATTCTATCGACAATCCTCATATCCGCTACGAAGCTCACACTCTCGATGATGGTGGTATCGGGGGTACCGTTGAGGTAATGGACACTGTTGATGAAGTTCCTGCGGATTCCGCCTTCCTCAGTGGCGCTAATTTCGTCTTGCCCTCTCGAGGTGAGGGCATGGATCAGTTGACCCTCTCGTTTCAGGGTGAAGTTTACGTGTTCGACGCTGTTTCCCCAGAAAAGGTTTCATTATTTGTTTTTCTTGGCCGAATTTACTTGAATTGTTGTTTTCATTGGTTCTACTGTAATGCAATTCACAATAGTTTTCTTTAGGATCTAATGTCTGAATATTTGAGGTTTTCATCTACCTCTACAGGTACAAGCGGTGTTGTTATTGTTGGGAGGGTATGAAGTACCTTCTGCAATGCATGGTGTTCCAACCTCTCAGCCTCAGAAGGTGTCTTCTCAGTCATTCAAGCTCTGCTGACATTCTTGTTCTCACCATTATTGATGTTTCCCTTACCAACACTTTTCTTTTAGGGTTTGGTTGCGTATCCACGACGTTCAAGTCTAACTCAGAGAGCTGCTTCTTTAAGTAGGTTTCGTGAAAAGAGAAAAGAGCGATGCTTTGACAAGAAAATCCGTTATACTGTCCGAAAAGAGGTTGCTTTAAGGTAAAAAAGAGAGTTTATAAGGGTTTTATCATTAAAGAATATATATATTGAGAAACTATCTCTTCAAGTGACATTTTTATGATGTTATTACGCAATTATGAGGGTATTCTGGTTATTGTTCTACGGTTCTACCTTAAGCAGTTGGGGTTCCAGGGAGACATCCATGTGGTTTGGGTGTCCCTTACTTTTCTAGATATCTAGATTTAAGGTGGCGATCCACCCTTTCATCATTTAAACATTTGATAAGTAACAATGACATGTATTAATTGAGTTTCATTTCTTCCCCTAAAAAAATAACGCTTTTGTCATATATACAGGGCGGAGGAGGTTAGCTCTCCTCATAACCATTTGGATCAGCAAATATCTATGCTTCTGTCTTTTATATACAAAACAGAATGGGCATTACCAAAGAATTCAATGCAATTTCTAATTGTAGTTAACTAGGGAAATTTGCAATTGGTTACTAAAATAGAATATCTTGAAGTTCTTGAATCTTGATTGAATTTTAAATTGCTCTTCCAGTTTAATTGGGATTTAAAATGTGGAAGAAATAATCCTTACAGAATTACAGATCATTGATGTAGGGATAAAAGGTACATGCTCTTGCCTCTCTAACATGATGATGACTATCACTACCTTCTCTGATCCAGTTGCTGGCAAGTTGTGAATCAGTCTTCCACCTTTACATGTTCTTGATATAATGGACCCTATTATTGTGAGCCCTTGTACAGTTGTACTAGGGCTTTCATCTCTACATGAAACAAATCTTCTGACCCAGTAGGACAAGCCATAAGTTCTTTCCTCCTGTATCTTGCTCCTCCATTCTAGAAGGCTGCATCTGTTCCTGAAGGCATCAAAGTTATGCTTCAGTGCTTCTAGAATGAGGGAGGCCAGCTATGGGAAATAATCTACCAAACTGAATAGTAGCTAGCCTATTTTGGTGGTGTTTGGCATGGTTGTGCTTAACAACTGTTGTTTTGCACAAGTTTTGCCACATCAGCATGTTAGAGGAAACAGAAAAAGTAAATGGGCATGTTTGCTAAACACCTGTTTTGTTAGGCCAGCTGTGGGAAATAATCTACCAAACTGAATAGTAGCTAGCCTATTTTGGTGGTGTTTGGCATGGTTGTGCTTAACAACTGTTTTGCACAAGTTTTGCCACATCAGCATGTTAGAGGAAACAGAAAAAGTAAATGGGCATGTTTGCTAAACACCTGTTTTGTCTTGAAAAGCAGTGCAAAGCAATACCTAGAATTTCGTGTTAGTAGTGTTGAAGGAAACATCTTTTCTGATGTTTTTATCTTTCAGGGGGGCTGGGGGCATTGCAGCAACCCCCTCCCCTCATCGGCATATTGAAAAGTGAAAACTAGAACATGTTCATGGTGTTGTGTTGCTTTTTGAAGCAAAACGGCATACATAAAACGTAGCCATGCTAAACACCATGTACATGAGGCCTACTGACTCATGTAATTTATAGAAAAGTGTCTTAATTTCTTTCTTGTATATAAACAGAATGGAATGATGGAACACGATTCATGTAGCCAACCCCATGATTGCCACTCTAATGGTGATAAGATCAATGAAAAACATCAAGGCTGTTACTTGTTTGAGAAGACTGGTCTAAATTGTGAGCTGATGTCTCCTGGAGTTGATGATTTTGATTGGCATCCAAATATGAAAACATTAGTTCTTCAGAAATACACTCAACTGTAGCAAGGAACTGGGACATTTTTTCAGGTATCTTCTTGGGAAATGAACTTCTTCGGTCATTAGATTTCTTTATGCATGGAAAAACAGGCTATTCAGAAAGCTAGAAACTGAATCTCCTAAATGAATAGGACAACGGGGGTTTATTAGCCAACATTTGGTCATTAATACACACCAATGGGTAATAAAAATTTCCCAGGAAAAGGAATAAAAGAACAGATGCTCATAAAGAGATTGTAGAGAAAATGAAGTAATTAAAAAATGGACTATAGAGAAGCATGAACGGACAGAACAGTTAATGCTTCATTCACCCACGCATTGAAGCAGGACCTTATGGGTCTGGGAAGGTTGCATTGGAAGGCCTTTTTTCTTAAAGCCTTGCCTCAAGATTCAGGCCTTGGAGGCTTGGACACCTTTTCAACAAGGAAAATGACATTCTATTCAACTCCTGGAAGATCATTGAATATGATTTTCTAAATGATGATCCTTGCTCAGTAAAGGAATTGACACTAAGGCTCAGTAGGAGTTTTCTCCTGAGGTTGTGCTTCAACAAGTGGTGCTGGATGTCACACAGTTATGTTGGACAAAAGTCACCTGGGACATAGACTTCTTAAAAAACACCTCATAGGTGAATTTAATGACTAGATCAATATTTATTTGAATATGGTTATTGGGATTTAAATGCATGAAAAGTGTACCAGCATAGCTAAAGTGAGTGCTTTTATATTTTAATGTTTGTTTTTGATATTTGAGAAGGATCAAATTATGGGGAAATACATAAAATGGGATTCGAGCTAAAACTGATGAAGGATGGAATTTTAGTTATAGAACAGAATTTTGTTGATGGAGTGGCAGTGGATGTCTATTAATCTTTATGACAACTCATGGCTAATTATTTGGATAATATTAGGTTAGACTGAAGATATGTAACACCATTAGCATTTTGGCTTTTCAAACAATGGGATGTCCTTTCTTAAGCATCTATTGTTAATTTTAGACATTTGAATCCTGTGCAAAAAAGATTATATTTATCCATATTTAGTATGCAATAATTACCCACTTACAGTTTGATGGTGATACTATTTCCCCCTGTAAGGGGGAGGATGTGAGATGGGCCAGAAATTTGAAGTTGGTGATTCAAGTCTCTGAACTGATGTCAAATATGAGGGTGAATTTTGATAAGAGATGTGTGGTGGGGCTGAATATGGAAGAGGGAGCTATAAGGGAAAGGGCAGAAGCTTTGGTGTGTGTTATGGCTCAATGGCCTATGAAATATTTGGGGCTGCCCTTTGGGGATAATCCGAAGGAAGAGAGTTTTTGGAGCCTTGTAATTGATAGGTTTCGGAAGAAGTTAGCCTCTTGGAAGAAGAATTACTTATCTCTGGGTGGCAGAATCATTTTGATTAAATCTACATTGGCAAGTTTGTCTGTGTATTATTTATTAATCTTTAGAATCCCAGTGGAGATAAGTAGAATTTTGGAAAAGTTGATGAGAGATTTTTTGTGGGAACTAGGGGAGGAAAAAAGGATCACAGGGTAAATTGGGAATTGGTCTCTAAAAGTAGGGCTGGTGGAGGGTTGGGTTTAGGTAATATTAAAAAAAAAAAATGAAGCTTTGTTGGGAAAATGGCTGTGGAGGTTGGAAGGTGAAAGGGGAAAGCTGTGGACTGGTTGGAATACAGGGACTTCAGCAAGATTAACTGGTACCTCTCCTTGGAAATCCATATATGCAGTTCTACCCTCTTTTCTGCAACACATCAGGTATGACCTTTGCTCTAGGACTAAGGTGGTGTTGGATCCCTCTGAGAGGGATAAGAGGCTATGGACTTTAACTCATTCTAGGTCATTCTCTTGTGTTTCCTTTTTCAAATCCCTTTTGCCCTCTAACAATGACCCTTTCCTGGTTAAGGAAGTTTGGAGTGAGCCGATTCCTCCAAGGTTTGGAGCTTTTTTGTTGGGAAGCTTTCTTGGGAAGATGTAACACATGTGACTTACTCCAAAGGAAAAGGCCTTATTGGTGCTTGTCTCCGAGTCGGTGCATTCTCTGTAAGGTCGATGGTGAAAGCTCATACCACTTGTTAATTTCTTGCCATTTTGCTTCTGCTATTTGGGAATGGTTTCTTTCTCTCTTTGGTTGCAGGTGGACACCCCCCCCCGATGTGCGAAGGTC